TTAAATTTTCTACGTTTTCAATTTCCTAAATTAACAATTTTGATTCAATTCCAATCGCCATCAGCTCTACAATCTACATTAACTCACAAAATTCCCATTAACAAAACAAAATGTACACAACTCGACGTTTCGTAATCGAACGTAATAGCTCGATACATCCATATTATGAACAACAAATCGTTGTATAAAAGGGCTTCCTTCCATTAGTGGTCACTAAATGGCGTACCGAAAATTAATAAAACCTTTACAGATACCTCATTAGTTTAATTAAACGGCGATCATTACCGTGGGGTAAAAGAATAAGGCTCTAATTTGGCCGGCGCCACACTATTGCCATCTCGGGCACGTCCCTACAAATTGATACAGGGTACGTGAGCCACTCAATTCGATGACGCTCATTTTGGGTTCCGTACACAGAATGACTAAGGAGAATTTAAGAGGGAAGTGATAAAGAACTATTTTGTAAACGACGCGACGTCTGCCCTCCATGTCCCTCACTTATGACGCTGGTGTGAATAATGAACTACCTCGAGTAGTACCACTACGACCGTATAATTCATGCATTAGCTGTCTCCGTACTTGGAAGCACCTTGTTTTCTTACAATTTAATAATGAAATTCTAGGAATTTATACTGCTTGATAGTTTCAGACACAGCTTAGTACCGAAATCGATTTTATACGAACTTTGTACCTACTTGAAATTATTAATATTTCACTATAATGACAGAAAAATTGCAAGGGAGTTGACAAATGACAAGACCGATAAAATTAGCATTACGAGTAATGTGCGTACCGCAGGGAAGCGTCGCGAAAGGGCTCGATGCGCGGAAGGGGAGGGGAGCTCGTCGATCGTCAGACATCGTTAAAAGCCGCTTGTCCCGTCGTTTGTTGCGAGTTTTCACAAGTTCCACAGTAAATGGGTGCCGTCGCTCCCACCAGCTTCACAATTTACTTTTTCATCTTTCACGAAGGGCTCTTGTTGTTATTTGACATTAGGTACGCTTTCACGAAACAAGCTTTTAACCCTGTCGCGTTTGAGGACGCTTAACGTCATTAAGTACACAACAAGCGAACTTCGAACACCCTCATCGGAATTTTTCACATTACACAAAATTGTTTCGGACGTTTTGTCTCGTAAAGGGGTCAGGTACCGCTATTATTGTAACTTTATTGATTTCTGCACAGCGGTTGCTCTCCACTCATATCATTTGGGAACGAGACACTCGCAGTGGACAGTGATTATGTGACTAGACCTTCGGAAAAAGGTCTTCAGGTCGGGAAACACCTTCTATTAGGAATAAGTGACCCAATCCACTTGAGTGGACGCAATTTTGCGGAACCTCTATCAAATGTAGTTTGTACAGATTGCTTATGTGGGTCACGTATTATTCAATAAACCCAAAATTAATACTAAGTACGTGAGCTGCGTCGGTGAATGGCACTTTTCTGTTATTTTGCTCTAATAAAGATACTGACCGCGCGCCGCCAACTATTAACTTGGGCAAAACTCGCTCCTGTCATTCGAACAGAGAATTTATGTGAGTATAATTATTTCATTTCTGGCGAAGTCTTGCAATTTGGTGCGAAAGTTTCTCAGGCGGCGCGATATAATTATTTAACCGCTATAATTAATAAGGCGCTATAATTTGGGAACAGCCGGACGAATTGAGCGAGTCGTCATGGCGCTGCCGGCGGGGCTTGGTACGCGACGCACGTCCTTTATTAATTTTCAACGAAATAGAATCAAATTAGAGAAATTGTTTGCCGAGACTAAGTTTCAATTATGGTTGGACCCTGTCTTTAATTTAAAAGTTGCTTCTTTTATTTAATTTGTATGTTGATTTGGGATCTTCAAAGTATCTTGTGAGAGTGCTAAGTTTTAGAATTGAGAATTTACTTGCAGACCTATACGTTTATCTCTTGTCATTTATATAAACCGACCTTCATGACCTATAAACTTTTGTTTGCAAAACAATTCTGTGTTACGCGATAAACTCTATAGAAGGAAGCAACTCATACAACCATACTTTACAACTCCTGGAGAAACCATAGAGATTGTTCTCTCAAACTTACTAACTAGATGATCCCTACTCCAATTTATCGTGAAACCAAAAAAGTGTGGGTACTGATAAGTGGATGGGAAGGAAATCGATGCTGACAGGCACTGGGAAGCATCTTGAGAGATAGAATTACGGGAATCTGAGGGACTAGGGGCCACTCACGATATTATACCATTATTTGTACCGATTGTTTCTCTCTAAGTGGTTGCAAGCGTAGCTCCCGATCTCGGCAGGCTGCCTTATTGGACAAGTAGTCGTAAGCGTGAATATCGAGCAAATAGTCTCTATTTCGATTTTTAGGTTTGGCAAAGTATTTGTTGCGTATCCGGTAAATTCTCAATATATTGGCATTGAGTTAAGAATCTTGACTCTTGACTAAATTAAAAATCGTATTTGCTTATATGTATTTGATATTTCTTCATATCATAGATAACTGGAAACTGCTACTGCACAGATGCGCTATTTTTAAAGATACTGTTGTTTTAGAAGCAAAATCCTCGTATTACGGTCCACGAATTGATAATAATCGAAACGAATTGATAATAATCGAAACTATACAAATACAATCGGTCATGGAATCGATATAGAAAGAAGTATTAAGTAAGCATGCTAAAATATTTGATTTCCTTTTTTGCTGATTTAAAAAAAAATTAAAGTAGAAATGCTCCAGGTCAATAGATCTAGGTACACCATTTTACAGTCGCTAATTAAATAAGTAACTTTGACATTTCCTCCAGTTGTAAAAATATTTGTATCATGATGAGAAAGTTGTCCAAATTGGTATTAAACAATCTTCAACTAGACATCTTAAAATCTATGCAAAGTACAGTCTGGGAGTCACGAACGAAAATTTTCAATTCACTCGAAATCAAATAGTGTTCACGTTCATTCCGCTTAACTGTAAAAGTGCTCAACGAGCTCTCTAAACTTTATAACATTGTCTTACAGACTGAATGCATAAACGAACAGCCGTGCTATTCTGAAAATGGAAAATTAACATCGAATGTCATCTCGCAAGTCACACTTTACAAAAAAGCCAAAACCCATAATATCGTTGTGTGGGAGAGCCATGCTTCGGCACGAATGGGCCGGCTCGACCGGAGTGATACCACGGCCTCACAGAAAACCGACGGGAAGCAACGCTTGCATTGTGTTTCGTCGTGTGGGTGAGGTTACCGGAGGCCCGAATACCCTCCTCTTCCCCAGTCTCCCCAATCCCTGAATCCCCAACGATCCTCAAACTCCTAATCCCCAAAAAGCCGGTAATGCACTTGTAACGCCTCTGGTGTTCCAGGTGTCCATGGGCGACGCCGATTGCTTACCATCAGGTGATCCGTCTGCTCGATAACCGGCTTAAACCATAAAAAAAATATCTAAACACTTGCCTGGCGTAATTTTTATTACTTCCGTCATCACCTTGTGGCGCTTGTATCGAACTCACAAATTTTCAGAAAAGTAATGTCAGTAAACTAATCTCGCCTCGGATTCTGTGTGCCTATTGCGAGTTAGTTTTATGTTAACGCGATAGACACGTTTATGACTTTCGGTGCTCTGATTACTTGCTCCAAGTAAACCAACTCGTCACTGATCTCAAATGAAGTAACTCACTGTCAGAACTCAGAACATAATATAACATAACATCACGCTTTTTTATCCCCGAAGGGGTACACAGAGGTGCACATTATACGGCATTTAATGCAACTGTACAATTTAACACCCACTTTTCGCTATTTATGTTATAAGTACCATGTAATAGGGGGTGAGCCTATTGCCATATACCGGGCACAATTCCAAACTCCGTGCTACGACTGAGATTTTTTTAGAAAACCTAGTTATACTTCGCCCGACACGGGAATCGAATACGAGATCCCTTGCCCGGCAGTCGCACTTGCTATCAGAACTCAGAAGTGACTATGCAAAATGAACTTTTAGAATAACACGGCAGTGCCAAATGCCCTGTGCTAAACATTATTTTCTTTTATAGCACAAGTTTGTGCATAAGACTACGTAGACGATATACTAACGCCTGCATCGTACCGTTTCGGAGCATCGTTCTTGTAAAACATTGTTATGACTTGTAGATTGTTCTGCTCACATTGTTTCTTTAAAATTTGTGTGATTGCCTTATTACTCTTATGTTTATTGCACATTTTAATCTAATGATATGTAAGATGATTTAAAAGCAACATATTGTTGAATCATTGAAGATGAAACATATTATGCCACAATTTCCTTGAATTCTTGTCTTCGCATGCGCGCACTGTATGGCATGTCGTGGTGGCCCGGAGTTTTAAGACGTCCTCTTCTCATGCATGAGGGTGCCGGTTTGAAACCTACCAACGGCAAGTACCAATGTGACTTTTTCCGAGTTATATGAACATACTTTCTAAGATTATCTAGACACCACTGACAAACGGTGAAGCAAAACATAGTGAGGAAATCTGGGCTTATTATTTCTAATTTTAAGTTTGTAATCGCCAACCCGCATTTAGCAAGCGTGATCAATGCTCAAACCTTCTCCGTGTGGGAAGAGGCTTTGTTTAGCAGTGGGCATTTATATGCTGTAGATAATGATGATGATGGGCACTGTATATTTAGGATCAATCGTTCAATCAATTAAGTTATCAGACTTCACATTTATCCCTTTCAAAATTTTGATATTAATCCAAAAGAATGAATAACATTAACTTGATAAGTGCTCCATTACATTATATTAGAAATATCATAAAGAAAAATCGACCAATCAAAAGTAATTTTCACAATTTATTTCGATCCAACATATTTTGTAATTTAGTTTCCATACATTTTAAATAATACAATCACAAATAATGTTCTAAGTATACAGATAACAGCTACTGACTATTATATAATATATATAGTGTGCCTAATGTAGATATATGCAACATATATTATAATTATATATGTATGTACTTCTTTCTTCTACTCTACAGGCTCCATATTGTTGTCTACGCGAGGACTCTCGGTACTGAAACAAAACAAAAAACCTATAAGGTAAGTACATAATTACGAAGCTTAAAGGTAGAGTATTAATTAGTTTCAACGAGGTCTTTAATTTATATGCTCTAAAACAACCTCACCGTTTTTCGGAAGTTGATTTAAAAAATAACATGACCGAATTCAAATGAACTTCTCTCTATCGGGTTTCAAAGAGTTTATAATGCCATAACACATTAAAAATTCGTTATTTATTACACAATATGTACTAATGAATTAATAAAGATATAAATTAAGATGTAAGATATATAATAAAGAAGAAAAACTAAAATGGATTGTGCAAAATAATCTACAGTCATTAAAACACTACCACTATCTATGCATAGGTGGACCGCTTTTGAAAAAGGAACGGAAAATCCGTTCATAACACGTTGCGCTCCGTTCAATTCACGGCAGTGTAGTGGCACTTTTAGAAGCCACAAAGCAGACTCACAAAAGCTCAACCAACATAGAAACTGAATAAAAAAGTCTGTATTACCTATCACCACCATCCCCTTTTGCCGTACGGACAATAGTGTCCTTCTTCCCTGCAACGTACACGATAACATGAATTGACTGAAACTCCTGAATTATAAATAACTTTAGAAAAATCTTTGCAACGTGAGCAAGTTTGGAAATTTTCCTTTTAGCAGGTTCTTTGGCTCTATTCTTTACTTCCTTTGCCCCGACACTAAGTGTGGCAACACAAAAGGCTGAATGTTTGAATACGTTGCTCTTAAAAAGTTCCCAAATAAAGTCCCCCATAATCTCTTAAATGGTTGGAGTTTTAATAGTTAAGTATTTTTTGAGACTCATAAAATGCGGAGTGTTAAGTTATTTTACCGTAAAATAGACATAAAATCTATCTGTTTATAAATAAATATAATACACATCATTTTATTTCTAATTTGTAACTAAATAGGTACTCTTACTACTGCTTAAAGTAGGTACCTAACCTACTTTAAGCAGTTTTCCGTAGTCACGTGTCTATAAACCATGTTTATTTTTAAATCAAAATGTCCTCCCTATTGGTTTGGTTTATCTGTATTCCAAACTTCATCGATATTCAACTGCTCTGTGATTGGGTAACAAGTACTAAAGTGTCAGCAGGGGTAAACTCCAACGTGGCGTTAATAGTTACAGAATTGAATCTTTACTGGACATTTACAGTTCTATTTGAAAATTAACGGATTATGGATAAACTTATTATTTTAAGATTTTTAATTGTTTACTGTCAAACCAGGCCTAATGTTAATAGTGAATTGATTTTACATAGCATCCAATTCCGATCGATCGATATTGGAAATATTGTGAAATCTCGTACTCTTGATTCGCAACACTAGCGCACATTACATTCGTATTGCGTGGATATTTAATGAACTAATTGGTATTGAGTTTGGCTTTATATTCCGTACTCTGGATGCTATTTTAACAGCTACGGTAGGGGGTTGTATAGTTTTCACATTGAATAATTATTGAGGTTTTAGATTAGATTGAAATCACATTGATTTCAAAAGTAGGCACCCAGGTCATGATAATAAGCGTAAGACGACGGTCTGCTAATATATAATGTTAGTTTATATAAAAATAAGATTACACCAAACGCCCTCTAGTGTTAAGTATGTGCAACTAGTGTTTTATTATCTGTGCCTCAATAAACCGACTTCACTTCTGTCAAGTGAATTCCGCATGTACACGTCGTTTTATTAGGTTATGGGCCCAGTACTATGGCTCTTATTTTATATTAGCTAAAATATCGCGAAAGTTATAAGTTATCCAATAATAGTTTGTGTGATAATAATTCGCAGTAGGATATTTAGTGTAGCTAGCATAGGCAATCATTTCGTTTTCAAGAAAAAATAATGGCGGCAAATTACATTGTCAATGTGCCCAAATTACGAGGAAGAGAAAATTATAGCGAATGGGTATTTGCAGCGGAAAACTTCTTGATCCTAGAAGGGATGATGAAATGCATCAAACCACAGGAAGATGCAAGATTGTTTGCCGAGGATGATGCAAAAACAAAAGCAAAGCTAATTCTCACGATTGATACGTCATTATATGTGCACATTAGAAATGTTTCTACTACAAAGGAATTGTGGGAGAAGCTAAAGGCCTTATTGACGATTCCGGATTTGCAAGAAAAATAACCTTACTACGGAAATTGATTTCTATAAGACTCGAAAATTGTGCATCCATGATTGCATATGTGACACAGATTATAGAAACAGGGCAAAAGTTGTGTAATACAGGTTTTCAGTTAAATGAAGAGTGGATTGGTTCATTGTTGTTGGCAGGGCTACCTGAAAAATATGCCCCCATGATAATGGCCATAGAGCACTCAGGAATTCAGATAACAACGGACGCCATAAAAAGTAAGTTACTTGACATGGAATCGGAAGATGGAATGAACGAAATGAATGATGGAAATGGAACAAACGGCGTTTTGGTCAGCGGTTATAGAAGTAGGCAACACTCATCGACGGCCAGGAAGTCTATGGTTAATAAAATCAACATGGCGGTTCAGTGTCAACAAAAGCGAAGAAAGAAATTAAATGTTATCGATGCAAACAAATAGGTCATTATAAATCACAGTGTATGGCTGAAGTGTCGAATAACAAAGGCAACGAACGCAAACAAACAAACGTATTCAGTGCCGTTTTTCTTAGCGGAAATTTTAACACGCAAGATTGGTATATAGATTCTGGAGCCAGTGTGCATTTAACCCCAAATAAACAATGGCTCACGAATATTTCCAATGAAAAGAAAGGTCAGAACATTACAATTGCTGACAAGACGCAAGTGCCGATTGAGTGTTCAGGCGATATAAAGATTTTTACCGAGGTTAATGGTAGAAATTTTGATGTGGACATCAAGGATGTGTTTTTGTACCGAAACTAACAACTAACTTGCTATCAGTTAGTCAATTGATTCTCAAAGGGAATAAAGTTGTGTTCACTACAAACACTTGTGAAATATATAATCAGAAAGGTACACTGGTGGCTTATGCATTGTTAAAAAATGGAGTTTATAAGCTGCAACTTCAAGAAACCATTTCTGCAGCAGCAGTCACATCGGGAGAGCTCTGGCATCGCAGATTAGGACACGTAAACAGTGAATGTCTGAATAAAATGCAGGATACAGTTGATGGATTAACCTTGAAAGAGAAAGTTGACATCTCAAAATCTAACTGTGATATTTGCTGTGAAGGTAAACAGACTAGATTACCTTTTAGTCATGTGAGTGAAAGAAGTACGGAAGTCTTAAATATTATTCATACGGATATCTGTGGTCCAATGGAATGCAATTCTATTGGAGGTCATAAATACTTCATTCTATTTGTTGATGACTTTAGCAGAATGACAGCTATCTATTTTCTAAAAAACAAAAATGAAGCTTTGAAAAGCTTTATAGAATATAAATCGTTAGTTGAAAATCAAACAAATAAGAAGATAAAAATTATAGAAGTGACAATGGAAGAGAGTTCTGTAATGGTAATTTTAATCATTATTTGAAGAAATTTGGAATCATTCATCAGACAACATGCCCATATACTCCTGAGCAGAATGGATTATGTGAACGAATGAACAGAACCTTAGTCGAGAAAGCAAGGTGCATGCTTTTTGATGCACAGTTAAGCAAGAAGTTCTGGGCCGAGGCCACAAACACGGCTGTATATTTGCATAATCGCACAGGTTTATCAGTATTACAAAGAAAAACACCTTATGAACTATGGCATGGTGTGAAGCCCGATGTAAGTCATTTAAGAGTTTTTGGCAGCATGGTAATGATACACATAGCTAAAGAAAAGAGACAAAAGTGGGATAAAAAGGCCCAAAGAGGTATTCTAGTTGGCTATGCTGATGCAAGTAAGGGCTACAGAGTGTATGATCCAGATAAGAATATGATAATAACCAGCCGAGATGTGATAGTTGTTGAAAAAGAAAACACTACTATAGCAGTAGTAGAACAGAAAACAGTAAATGAAACAATTAAAAGTACAGACCAGACATCTTCAGTGGGGGATGTGAAAGAAAGCTTGTCTGACACTCTCACATCCCAAACAGAGTCTACAAATAATTCTGATTCTGAATATGTACCAAGTGAATATGAAGATGTAGAAGAAAGTTTACAGGAAACTGTAACCACCACAAGGGAAACTAGAAACAGAAAACAACCTGATAGGTATGGTTTCAGTAGCCAACAAAATGTCTGTCTTCAGGAAGCTGGAGTTTTAACTTTGCAGGAGGCTTTGACTGGACATGAAAAAGAATATTGGCAAAAAGCAGTAAAGGAAGAACTTCAATGTTTTGAAGACAATCAAGCTTGGGAGTTGGTTGAAATTCCGAATAATAGTGTTTGTGTGGTTCAGTGTAAGTGGGTTCTAAAGAAAAAATGTGATGTGGACGGTAAAGTTTTATATCGTGCTCGTCTAGTGGCAAAGGGTTTTACTCAGAGACATAATGTGGACTATAATGAGACATTCTCTCCAGTGGTTAGATATTCTACGTTAAGATTACTATTTGCCTTGACTGTAAAATTAGATTTTAAAACAACACACTTAGATGTAAAAACAGCATTTTTAAATGGATGTCTTGAGGAAGATATTTTTATGCAAAAGCCAGAATGTTTTGATGATTTAAATGATGGTAAAGTCTTAAAATTAAAAAAGGCCATTTATGGGCTGAAGCAGTCCTCAAGAATGTGGTATAAAAAGGTTGAAGACTGTTTGCATAATATTGGTTATATAAAATCGAAATATGAACCTTGCTTGTTTACTAAGAGAATGAAGAAATGTATAACTGTTATTGCATTGTATGTCGATGATTTCTTCATATTTAGCAATGATTGTAATGAAGTAGTAAAGTTAAAAAGGTTGTTAGGGGAAAATTTTAAGATTAAGGACCTAGGACCTATAAGACAATGTCTGGGTATGAGAGTAGTGTGCAATGAAAATTGTGTAACATTAGACCAAGAGAATTATATAGACCAGTTGTTGGATAAATTTAATATGTTGGATTGTAACACTTCAAATACACCAATGGAATGTAAGTTAAACCTTAGTACAGGCAACAATTGTGATTTTAGCATACCATACCAGCGTCTAATGGGTAGCTTAATGTTTTTGTCCGTTTTAACTCGTCCAGACATATCATTTTCAGTTAGTTACATGAGCCAATTTAACAACTGTTTTACCAAGGAACATTGGCGTCATGCAAAAAGAATTTTGAAATATTTAAAGAAGACTAAACACTATGCTTTAAAATATGATTCAAAGCTTAATTCTGAAATTGTTGGTTATGTTGATGCTGATTGGGGTAGTGATGTCATTGGTAGGAGGTCATATACGGGTTTTGTATAATAATAAATGTTCGGTACCTATGTACAGCTGATATGCCAGCAGATTTACTTACTAAAAGTTTAAATTCAATTAAGCATAAAGCTTTTGTTAATGCTATTGGTTTGGTGGAGAGATGTTAAGGACTTGTATTATTTTTATATAGTGGGGGTGTTAGTTTATATAAAAATAAGATTACACCAAACGCCCTCTAGTGTTAAGTATGTGCAACTAGTGTTTTATTATCTGTGCCTCAATAAACCGACTTCACTTCTGTCAAGTGAATTCCGCATGTACACGTCGTTTTATTATATAATTTATTAATCTCTGTCCATTATACCTAGTCAGGTTCTTTTTCCGAGTGTGAATAAAATAAATATCAAGGTGTTTGTTTTTGTCTACTTTCCTTCAAGTAAGTATTTCTAAAGACATAGGTATTCGGTAGACGAAGGTACTAGCTTAGTAGCTTCCTAGTGACTTGTTGAGCGCGATAACAATGCAGTGGCGTGTTCCGTTCAGAACTTACTCTGTCAGACCGTTCCGAGCGACGTTACAATGTTAGCGCACACAATTGTTACCGAATTGTGTTTAGAACTAGTCACTGACAACGAACAATTCTTAGTTAAATGACCTCATTTACCTCTAGAAGACACATTTGAGTAGGCACACAGAATTATTGATTCAATATACCAGAATTATTCGCAATAGAAGATAACGCGGGTGGACCAGATACAACTACTTGTAAACTAAATAGCTTTGGAGATGATTAAATAAGAATGAAGTCTGTAAACCCTATCAATAGGTGCTATGATTATTATGATTTATGACTGAACGAAGGATGAATAACTTGACGATCTGGTAGAAAAAATGAATGGACAAGAAAGAGGAGAAATACTAAAACTTATGTACGTACTAAAAACTTTTAAGTGTGGGAGAGCCATGCTTCGGATCGACCAAAGTGATACAACGGCCTCACAGAATACGGACGTGTAAAATCGCTTGCATTGTGTTTCATCGTGTGACTGAGGTTACCGGTGGCCCAATTCCTCCCCCTCCCCTTTCCCCAATCTTCCCAATCCCTGAATCCCTAACAATTTTCAAATTCTTAGTCCCTAAAAGGCCGGTAACGCACTTGTAACGCATCTGGTGTTACATGTGTCCATGGGCGCTGCCGATTGCTTACCATCAGGTGATCCTTCTTATATTAATATCGTATAAAAAACGTACATTATGAAGACAACTCTAAATATGACAATAGAAAAATTCTCAGTAATTTTCTCGTAGGTAATACGAGAACCAACTAAATAGTTGATGGTGGAAATTCAAAACTAACTTACGCATAGTAGGGATGTTTCCCTTGCATGATGAGAGAGATGGCAGTTTTAGAACCACGTTTGCCCAAAGAATCGCCAGACCAGAGCTCCTTACTTAACATGTGATCTGGAATACAATAAAAGCGTAAATTAGTTGATTTTTTTTTCTTAAAAAAAACGTTGCCGCACATTAGGATTTTCTCCTGTGTCGTGGGTGAGTTTACAAACATATAAATTCACACACACAATGACACCCAGGCCAGAAACAACAAATTGTGGATTGGATGAACACAAAGTGTTGTTCCGTGCGGGAATCGAACCCGCGACACGTTGCACGGCAGCCAATTACCCAGCCACCGAACCAACCGTGCAGTCGATTATTATTAACCGTGCAGTTATTATTACGACTATAAAACTTTGTCAAAGAGGTAAATGGACGTGCTCCCCATTTTACTCCAGATGGGTATAAGCTTAAGTTCCATTAAATATTTCATATCAAACGCTATTATCACACTTTATACTTGATACTAGTGTAATGTGTCGTTTCCAGTCAATTTTCTCAATAAATAAATAAATAAATAAAATAAATAAAAATTTATTTTCAAACATAATAGTCTAGAAATGTACAGTATTGCTTAAAGCTATATAAAGTTCACAATATAAGGTGCCTGAACTAGGACATCCTGTGTTTCAGGCGAGGTTAGGTAATAGTAATAGACATTGTTATATAATCACTAGTACTTAAATGCTTATAAGTTAAGGTAAATTATGACAATATTTAGTTATGCATACTGATATAAAGTAATACTTAAATTCTATGCTTAATATGTACATAAGAGTATGTATGTAGTATATAAATTAGAGATTAGGAGCTTACGTTAAGTATTATTTAGGAACTAATAATAACTTCTCTGTGTCTTCATAGGACATGTCTTGAAGGGCTTCCTTTAGAATTTTCTTACAGTTACGGATGCTATGGGGGTAAATCCATAAGGTTGCATTTAGTCTATTGTATAGGAGTGGTCCAAGAAATACAAAAAATTTGGTAATAAAAGCGTGCTTTGTACTTTTGGTTGGGCAAACAATATCTCTTCGCCTTTTTTTGGTTATCTCAGGATTGTATGGAAAAGCCGCATGCTGTTTTAGTACCGTGCTCATAATAAAAAGCTGGCGGACTGTTAGTACTTTACAAGAACTATATAGAAGGTTAGTAGGGTAAAGAAAAGATCGGCCAGTAGACACCTTGAGAATCGCTCTTTGGGCTCTTTCAGTGGAAAGCAGTAGAGTCTTATCCGTACCACCCCAAGAGGTAATACAGTAAGTCAATATTGATTGGCACAAGGAGAAATATACCTGTCTGATTATTTTTGGGTCAGCAATATAACGCAGCTTTTTGAACACAAATATGAGCTTACGCAATCTACTGTTTAAAACGCTCAGATGCCGTTTAAAAGAAAGAGTTTCATCTAATATTATACCCAAATATTTTACATTACTACTCTGATTGATAAAAGGGCACATACATTGGTCAGGAATGTTACAGTGATGGGCATACAAGGCTAATGTAGATACTGGGTTTTCCTTCCGAATAGCAAATTTGATGAAGTGTGTCTTATCTGTATTTAATGTTAGTGAGTTACACCGAAGCCAATTATTTACATTATTAAATCCGTGCTGCGCAAGTCTGTAGACCTCAGTTATCGAGTCAGCAGAAAAAAGTAGAGCGGTGTCGTCAGCGTATGACACAATTGTGCCGTGTTCCAGCTTAAGATTGCATAGGTCATTTATGTAAATTAGAAACAATGTAGACGATAATATGCTCCCCTGCGGGACACCGTAGGGGGTGTTTTTAACGTCATCGCTGAGTACTTTACCGATTCTTACACACTGACTGCGGTCTTCTAGATAACTTTGAAAGAATTTAAGCTGCATTCCTCTTATACCTATGATCTCCAGCTTATGCAACAACACAGGAATAGAAATTGTGTCAAAAGCCTTGGCCAAATCCAGGAAGACTCCCAAAGTATGTTTACCCTTATCAAGTTCTTGCGTTATGTAGTTAGTCACGTAGTGTACTGCGTCTGCTGTTGAAATTTTAGGTCTAAATCCATATTGGTGTTCTGATAGAATTGACCTGTCCTCCAGGTATTTAAGCAGTCTATTATTTACTAGCTTCTCTAATATTTTAGACATAGAAGGCAGTAGTGAGATAGGTCTATAGTTTGTTACTTGGGATTTACTGCCTGATTTATGTACTGGAACTATGACTGATTTTTTGAGACATGCCGGGAATATGCCGGAAGATAAACACAGTCGAAAAATATAAGTCAAAGGAGGAGTTAGAATATTTCTAAACTGCTTAATAATTTTACTAGAGATATCATCCCAGCCAGCAGCGCTATCGTCCTTCAGAGTCATAATAATATTTTGTACCTCAGTCTCGTCAGTGTCGAACATCACAAAAGATGCTATAGGTGCGCATTTCTTTGGGGTATTTTGTTGAGGAGGACCTTGACCCTGGATTTTTTCTGCTAGACTTTTGCCCACATTAGCAAAAAAGTTGTTAGTCACATTAGCGGCCGTGCGCGGTGTCGTATATCCCTCTAGTAAACCCGAGGCTGAATCACTTTGTTTTGACGCGTATGTAATATTTTTAATGCACTTCCATAATTGTCTGCTATTTGAGCCAGCCTTTTCTAGTTTAGTTTTATCGAATTGACTTTTGATCTTTTTAAGGAGATCGTTGCAAAAGTTTCGATATCTTTTGTAAGATATTTGTATATCCGTATTGTCTGGATTACATTTAGCCTTAATGTGCAGTTTGTCCCTATGTTTCATGCACCTGATTAGTCCAGTTGTAATCCACGGTTTGATGTTATGGTTTTTGTTACGTAACTTTGTCAGTACTGTGTTTTGCTGAATTGCATGACGCACGCTTTCAATCACGTACGACATGCAGTACTGTGGGTCAGCGGAATTATAGACTGGCTCAAAGTCGATGTTGCGTAAATCGTCCTCAAGTTTATCTAATTGCAATTTGTTAATTAAGCGAGTATTTTGTTTAGGTAGGCTACAATTTAGAGTTAGTAGGACAGCGTTATGATCGGTTATTGATGAGTTAGTAACAAGTGCAAGCGAGGGGAAAGCCGATTTTAGCATGATGTGATCTAAGCAGGAACCTCTTTGGTGTGTAGGGAAGTTATGCGTGGGGAGCAGGCCCTGCAGGGCACATACATTGAGGTATTCCTGTGCAGACGCATCAATACTCAGCGGCGTAATGTTAATATTTATGTCTCCTATTACAATTATATTTTTGAAGGATGAGAGGTTCTGTAATGCGTCATTCAGAGAGTTATTAAAGTTTTGCGTGTTTTTAAACGACGGGGGTCGGTATAATGCTAGTATTGCAATCTCTGATCCGATTTTAAGTAATAGTCGGTTGCAGTCGTGCATATTTGGTTCTTCTACAGATATATTAAGGTGGTTCCTTGCATAAACTACTACACCATCGTTTTGATTGTAATTTTTATTACTGCTATATGTGTTATATCCAGGTATTTGTGGGATATTATATTGTTTAGCAAGCCAACATTCGGTTAATACCATTATATCACAGTTTATATCTAATCGATGCAAAAGTGTAGAAAAGCTATCAAAATTCTTAAAGATACTGCGGATATTTTGTGTTAGTATAGTTAGTGGGTTTTCGATGCTATAGAGATATTGTTTGCAGTTTTCAACTTCACACATCTTAGAGTCAGACACAGAGAATTGGTCTAAATCGCTAATGATATTATTTATCATAGTTGATATAAATCTAGGAATAGGACTAAGAATACAATTAGGTGTTAGCGCTCTTAGGCGCCTTCATAGTTTACTGAGTTAATATACCTTTTTTCGGCCATAGTCTTTGCAGGGCATTCGGTGGCACCGGTCATGTGGCCAGCTGGCTTTTTGAAATGCAGGCAGGTTGCACATTTGGGTTCATTAGACTTCTTTGTGCAGTCCTTGATGGCGTGTCCTTGTTCTCCGCAGTGGCCGCAGGTGAAGGATGTTTGACGGCATGATTTGATAGCATGTCCGTACTGCTGGCACTTAAAGCACCTGGTCACTAAAGTGAAGTCTCGAACAGGGCACGATGACCAGTTGATGAAGACTCTTTCCTGTGATATTAGGGCCTTGCGTATAGACGGGGTTACTTCGATCACGTAGTTGCATGTCTCAGCGTCTCTCCTTCCTGATTTATGACTTAATCTCGTCATGGACAAGAAAGTCTCTAAATTGCAGTCCTTGATTTTATCTGCTAAATTTTGGTGGTACAGGCTTGTTAAGGCTTCGTTGTCGGGCATACTGCATGGTACTCCGATAATGACGACCCTGGGGTTTCTTTTTTCGGCTCATCGCATATTAGGCCTGAGCTTGATAGTTGCGCAGAATGTCTCAGCTTTTCAATATCGCTCTGCGACTCGGTATTGATGATAACACCACCGTTTTTTGTTTTATGTAGGCCTCGTACCTGCAGTTTCAACTCCTCAGGGCGTATAAGTTTTTGGACCAGTGATTTTGTTTCTTCACTCGTTTTCATTTTGTCGCTAGGGTATATGGCGACTGAGCTCACTTTTGCGGGCTGAATAAATTTATTAGCTCCTTTTTTGACCATGTCGGCAAATGAGTGTTCTTGGGCAGGCTTGGAGGTCTCAGTAATCTTCTGTTTAAGGTCTTGGAGTTGATGAGAGAGGTCAATCTGATATTCCAGGTCACAAAGGCGTTGGTGGTCTACCAAAGCTCTACATTTTAGACCTTGGTATAGCACTGCCATCTGTGACGAAGCACTGATGACCTTCCGGGATAGGGCATTTACTCGCAACTTTTGTTCCGAGTTCATCTTGCCAGCGTCGACAAGACTGCATATCTCGGTGAGGTTTTGGTCGATGGCAGCTACCCATTTTTGCAGTTCCGGGGTTTGTATGACTTCTGGGCCATCGGTACTTCGGGGTGTTGACTGTATGATAGGAGCGTTCATCGATACAGGTGTACCAGGTGGCGAGCGTGCAACCCTGCTACTCTGAGCAAAAGGGCTGTTTTCCATGTTGCAGTGTGTTTAATTTTCAATCGTACAGCATTGTCAATTTACACATTACACAATAGGTATTAATGTTCAGTTGTTATTCTAGGTCACGATTTTTGCAAATGATTATTTAACATTAATTGCACTAATAAATTGTTCAATACGTCCGATCTAAACGATGGCTCGTCAATCAATCAATGAACCCTATTTCGACCTTTAGATTATTATGCAGTCTCTACCCATAATTAACAAAAGGTGCTTGAATCCTCCAACTAATTGTTATACAAAGACAGTAATACATTCCCACCGCACACATTAATGAATACTACCAAGCCAGCTAGCCGTGCAAACACTACGAATTGTCTCTTTAACATTTTAAACGGTGCAAAAGCAACACCTTCAAATGCAAACCACATTCCCACTAAGGTGGAAAATAAAATAACGAAGGTGGAATAGAAACAGTTATATGAAACAGAATAAAACTCCAACGACCATAAGCCAACACTTATAAATGGAGCAAATAAATGCTGACTCTTTTCCAACGTTTCAAATAAAACGGTTTTGTAACGTTCAAAACCGTAACGTCGCTGTGATTATTGCACAATATTTTTCAAGCACATGTTAAGGAAAATAATGGCGCGGCGTCGCGTTTTATTTTTATTTCTAAGAAACGTGTTTAAGCCGTATTAAATTTCTAGAATGGTTCCTCAGAGATTGTGTGCTTAAAAATATTTTTAGTTTTTAAATGTGGTTGAATCTCTCATTTTTACGTAAATATTTCTAAGACCAAACATTAGATAGATGCGACAATAAGTAAGTACTATACTTATGTGCATTAGAGTACCTTCTTTTTTTATAATACGATCGTGTATACATGTATAAAGCCCAACTATAAAAATATTGTCATCTAACATATATGCACCTGCGTGTGTGTGTATGCTATACACATGATTTAAGCGAATAAAAAAAAATAAAAAGAATGATCAATTTTAATTCTCCAATATGTGAAAAAAGGCAAGAGCGTAGATTTTCCCATCAGACTTATCAGAAAAATCTCATGTTATATCCATTTTGAAACTTCACAACGCAGTCACTAGTAGCTCTATCCACTTGACAAATTTTCGGTTTTCTGGCTACCCGCAACGACTGGGTGTTCGTGTAACAACCGAAGCTGAATTGCGAGTCAAATATTGGTTTTTCCAATCTCTCTGGACGCACCTTTAGGAACGAAATCAAATGCAAGCACTCTGAACTTTGATTCAATTCAAATTCTGTTCTTGAAATTGTGACATAGCTGGCATAAATCAAAAAGAGAGCTGGTTACTTTGCAATTTATGTTCAGTTTTATGCAACATGATTGGCGCTGTAGTAGCAAATGGGGTACCATAGCGACGTGCATCGAATTTGATTCTAACATGAAAGAAAGAGCTACATTTTATTGCGAGTGCTACAAGCTTTTGTCTTGTTGCCGAACTGATTTACTTCGTGTAAAATATAAATTTTATTCTTACGCGCACGTTGACGTCACGTGCCGTCATACATGAAGGTAATGCATATTGTACCAAATTTCATGACGGTATATCATGGTGTCAAAAAAATTTATTTATTAACAACTATCTTTTGCCCGCGACTTAGTACGCGCAATCCCGTTTCTCCTATTCCCGTAGGATTTTCAGGACTTTTTTCTGTAATAAGAATCTTCTCCTGACGATAACGATGATAACACAACAAAAATAATCAGCCAAATCAGTCTAGCCGTTCTCAAGTTATGGCGTGACAAAAGGAAACGGGTTTCATTTTTATATATATAGATTACTGTTTAGCCACATTTTGCTGCACACAGTGCATAGATTCAAGCTACCACACACAGCTCATACACTAAGTAAAAATTAAAAAAGATCGGCTTCAATCCAGCGCCACTTAATTATTACAAGCTCAAACAATCAACTAAAGTCTTTTCATAGTTCAATCTCACAAAATAAATTCGTTTTCAATTTCATTTTTAACAGCGGATCGGAATTCGGAATGACTTTGTAAGATAAATTTATTTCGTTCTCATTATTTTATTGTAATATTGTAACAAGACGTTATTATTTCAGTTGAAAAAGATTCGAGCTCGATCTGTATCAGTTGTGGGTTTACCAATAAAGGATTTATTTTTGACAAAGATAAGATTGTTTTTCTTATAAAATGGTATTTAGGTGTCATTTTTTTATATAATAGGAGGCAAATGAGCAGACGGATCACCTGATGGTAAACGATCAGCGCCGTGGGCGCCCCGCAACAGCAGAGGAGGCACAGGTGCGTGGCCAGCCTTTTAAAAAGGAATACGCTCTTTTCTTGAAGGTTTGAAGACTTGTTTTGTTATTTATTGTCATACTTGTCTTTAATCAGAATACGTGTCTTATTACTAGTTTCAAGGAAAATACCTCATTAGTTATTTTATTAAGTCTCAAATTCGATCTTTGCATTCCGAGTTCCTAGATTCTCATATAAATTGTGCTCATATAAGTCAAAGTCTAGTTCTTTATTAAAAACTAAAATAATACTTACTCTTGAATGCGTTCCCAGTTCTCTTCCTGTACTCTTGCTCAACGGCTGGAAGAAGACCGGGATACAGCGATAGGGGAGTCCGGTAGAAGTCTGGAAATATAATCATACCTACTTTATTTCCGGAAACTATCAGTAGGTACCAGCAGTCGCTCTGCCTCGTTGGCCGAGTGGTCGTAAGAGTGACTCCTGGACAAGGGGTTTCGGATTCGATTCCCGGGTCGGGCATAGTATTATTGGGTTTTAATAAGTAACAATAGCGGATTTCTCTGCACTGAATCAATCTTCATTTTGATAACCACATACCAAATAACTCAGCTAGACAGCTGAGTTGGCTATAACTTTTATATATACGTCTGTATATATAAAAGTTATAGCCAATACATACCAAAACAAGTCTAAGATATAAGTACTGTCTGGGATTTCGGGACAGGCTATTTCATCGCCCACGGCTAGACACAGCTAACTATTCCATAAGGAATACAATAAATAGAACTTAGATAAAGATTTCTTTTAAGAAAGACAGATGACATACTTTCTGATCTTATAACGTAAGGCACTAAGTCAAGAATTTCTGCTTTGAGATACAAGATTATACAATATACATTTTCGAGATTCTCAATAAAAGTTCAATCTGGAACTATATCCGCTGTGCGGCATGGCAATTTAAAAACAATGTAATGAAAAGTGACTTCTGCTTATGTACCTAATACTTATATATCTAATCTATATTACAATCTAAAGGCACAGCTAACCGGCGCGGTTCCGGCACGGCTCCAACCCAGCAATAAACTTGTCTCGAAAAACGTCGGCAGGTGATAGTAAAAATCAAGTTTTATTTTCATAAAGTAAAGAATTAAATGTTTCTTCTAAATAATACTAGTTGTAATCAACAGGTACAGGTATAGGTAATAGGTACAGGCTGATGTTGCATGAATAAAACTAAAACAAGCCAGCGTTCCGGTTTTTTGTCAGCGTTCCGGTTACACTCTGTATAAAAAATACAGTAATGTATGACATAGTGCCTTTTCACTATTCGATAGCGACGTATTTTTTTTTTGTATTTCTTGTTCTTAGATACCTACGTACTTTAATCTTACTCATTCCTAAGGGCCCAAACTCTCCGATCAACTATTAAAAAATATACAACGAAAAATCTTTACAGTACAGTCCGGACTTCAAGACACTTTTCGCTTTTGAAAAAGAAAATTGTTGCTTTTGTTGTTCATGGAAGCGTTTAAAAAACGTATAATGTTTCTTTTACATCTTTTGTGGGCCTCACAAAATGATACAATGCGAAAAAAAAATGTTTTTCATTACGAAAAAATTTGAATGACAGCCTTGATACGTCGCATGGGGCTCTAACACTGAATTATGCAAACAAACATACATTTTAACGAACACACATTGAGCATTGGAATTGATTTAATTCTGGCTGTGATGTTGTTGTATTTTTTATTTTGTTTACATTGAAAATTCGTAAGAAAATATAAATGCTTCTATCTAACCCTTTGGGGGTAAAATGTAATGGTCCATTGTTGGTGCTATAGGTAAGGTAACATCTACGAATGTTTAAAAAAAATTACAGTATATTTAAAAACTAAGTATGCAAAGTGTGGGAGAGCCATGTTCCGACACGAATGGGCCGGCTCGACCGGAGTGATACCACGGCCTCACAGAAAACCGACGTGAAGCAACGCTTGCGTTGTGTTTCGTCGTGTGAGTGAGGTTACCGGAGGCCCAATTACCCTCCCCTTCCCCAATCTCCCCAATCCCTAAATCCCCAACGATCCACAAACTCCTAATCCCCAAAAAGTCGGTAACGCACTTGTAACGCCTCTGATGTTCCAGGTGTCCATGGGCGAAGCCGATTGCTTACCATCAGGTGATCCGTGTGCTCGTTTACCGGCTTATGCCATAAAAAAAAACTTTTTAGTTTGTACAGAAACGCAGAACACATCAATATATATTATTAACAATTCACCTTTCACAGTACCAGTTCACCTTAATGAGCTTAAAATAAATTAACAGAGGCTCAAAACAGGATTAAAGCAAAAATTAAATTGTAATGAAATATTGTAATACCTTGCGGTTTTGTTAAATTAAGTTGGACAGCAGGTAATTCTAGAATTTAAAAGAGTATTGATCAGTGCTTCAACCAGGTATTGAATCTTATTGGATCCTGGCTTCCTCGCCCTCGTCCTCCATTAATGTCCGTCTGGTAGATTATTTAAAAAAATGAGAGACATATTTTTTATTTTCTAACGGAAACAATTAGTTTCAAAGATATATTGATTTGAAATATCGCATGACGTCACTTTTCAGTACCATTTATACTCTAAAATGGCGTAGCTACCTCCTACTCCTAAACTTTGATTCGTTTTATCTAAGTATTGTTTTCTTATAGGGCAAAATAAAAATACGAGTATAATATTTTTTATTACCTAACTGACGGACTAATTAGATTTTTAATTTTCATACCCTGTCATCATCCCTATTGAGGCTTTGTCATTACTAATATGGTATTACGTAAGGGATTTCACCAGTATGTCCACGCTTGGTAGGTATCAAGTAGTGGTTGGGTCTAAGTAGTGCATCGTAGGTATGATGCACTACTTAGAGATCACAACTTAAAAGGTTCAGGATTATCAGAGAGTGCTACATGGTACTTTTGGAAAATCAATTCAAATCAAGTTTGAAAGAAATACTCACATAACATGCGCTCCCCAGATGCAGGTCCTTCCGACATGACGTCATCAGTCCGTGCACGCAAGTAATCTGTCAGCAAAAGGTAAGGGAAAACGAGTTTTAATCTTAACAACATAGGTCTGTAATCTTAATTTAAAAGCTGTAATAAAACTACAAAGAACAAATTCACTTTGAAAAAACTCTGTTTAAAATAATGGCAGACACATAAAATATAAAAACTAAAATCATCGAATGTATTCTGTACATAGATGTCCGCACAAAAAACCTTTCCACGATTTCAACGGAATGAAGATATTAAAAATTCATAATTATTTTTTTATCAAATTCCGTTTTACATCGCCGAGTTGAAAGGCAGTCTTTGAAATCATAATAAACCTCCCATCTTTTATTTTCGAAGTCGAACGATGAAAGCAGAGAATGGGGCAACCGGCCCGCGAGCAGGATATCCTTCGTCGAAATAATTAACTGGGTAAATGGTAAAAACAATTGAATTTATCTCAATTTCGCTCTTATATCAAAATAAAAGATGGCACGATTTCTAATTAAATTCCATCTACGGAATAACTTTAAAATAAATAGTCGATGAATATGCAAGAAGATATTGATGAAGATCGACGAAGCGAAAGAGGTACCTAAGCTAACATATTTTGGCGCTCTATTATTTCTATCTATCTAAATGGAAGACAGGCGTGACGCTGTCTAAGTATGTACGTATTTCTTTGATACACTGAACACACAACAATAACTCTTTATTTAATACAACGCGAAAAATAAGAAAAGATCAAAACTAATGATCAAGGACGCACCTTTATAGAAATTGAAGCCGTCCTTGCCGACATCGGAACATTTCGCGCAGGGAGCAATGGCAAGCAACGCGAGAATTGATATAAATGTTTCCCGCATTTTTGTGGCCGTTTATTAAGACTAATGAGCTACCAGGACATAGAAACGCGGACGGTGAGGATTTATAGCCGGTAAGAATGCCACTGCCGGACTACATCGCGGTTCCCCTTTTTATAATTTCTATCCGATATAGAAGGTACGGTTGTGTAGGTTGGTGGAGAAATGAGGTTCGAATCCGCGTTGGGCATGGATGTCAAAGTCAAAATCAAAGTATTTATTTCAATTTAACCATAATTTGGTACTTTTGAAACGTCAACAAATACTAAATAAATAATAGTCTGTCAGTCAGCCCGTCAGTGAAGCTAGGTGAAGCTAGGTGTCCATTACAAAATACAGATTCGAATGGAGAAGAACGAGCAATAAACTCCATTCGTTACTCTTTTTAAAAAACGTATGGTCTACAATGTCTCTGATACATATTCCAATACTGCACGCATATGTGAGAACAATGCAAAGACACGCTTGACGCATTATACTAATTACAAAACTTACTAAAATAAAAAAACAAGACAAGTTTTACGTTCGATTAATATCGCAAGGAAAATAGAATAGAAGACAATCTAAAGACAGTTATAGTACCTAGTTAATTATTATCATTGTGAATCTCAAACAAAAGAAAATGTTTTAAACCAAACAAATGCTGAAAAAGACTGAAAAGGAAAGAAGATCTATATTTCAAAGTTTCTACTAGTTTTGTTACTCATATTTTTATATTTTTCGTAATAATAATTATCTGTTTCTCTATATATACATATACCAGTATACAAGTATGTTTAAATAACCGGTATCCATAAACGTATATTAAGTCCCCAAAATACAGCCATAATCGCATCATTCAAATCACATTTATATAAAAAAGAAAAATGTACGAGAGTGAAGCTACCCTGAAAAAGGTCGGGTTTGTATGAAACTGGCAATGAAGTGTCGTAAAAGGGCCAGTCGCAGCCACATCATGCAACCGAGATATTGCTGCCCATTGTCCCGGATTCCCGGGACTTTTCTGTACTGATACTGATTTATGTCCCGGGTTAAGCTCACTCAACGGATGATACAGGTGTTTTGTCACAATAAGCTTTTGGCATTTCTGTTTACCTTTAACTTTCAAGAAAGAAATCGAGACGGCCTTTTTGCGACAGAGTGGTGTTATTTTGTGTAATGTTTTTTTCTTTTCGCTTTAGGTAACATAAACCTTAAATCTAGATCATAGTTAGAGTTCTAGCCTTGTTTCGCACCCCCACAAATATCCCGATACCTCCCCCAAATACAAATGATAATCAAAATAATAAATCTAGGGTCCTAAAATATTCAAGTCCCGTTTCAATCCCGGTGCGGGATCCCGGTAGGTAACAGCACTACTTCAGAACGACGGGGCGCCCGCAACGACGGCCACAACCTTATGCAAATGACGTCCCGGACAGACCCAGGATACTTTCTTATATAAAGGTGATTGTTGCGATTCTAATGGCTTCCTCTGCAACTGATGTATATCAAGGCTTTATTTACGTAAAAGGTTATGGATATAAATAAATGGTTTGTTCCTTCTATGAATGTCAATTTATGTGGGACTTTTATTAGGGTGCTTTTTTAGTTTTATTGTAGTCCTTCTTTATGTTTGATAGAACTAAGCCTAAGGTATATGTATGAAGGTCTTTTTGTATATTTTTGGTCAAGTACCTATCCACTTTTATGTAATATTACACATTGAGAGTCGGGCGCAGAATTAGTTTCCCACAATCAGGACGTGATCTCAAACAGCCGCATTCTTGGTATCTAGAGACCCGGAGCGGGCCTTGCTAATTCGCACCATCTTGATTCCGCGCTGGCCTTGCAGAATTAAATGCGAGAGACCTAACAAGCTTGGCAAATTCTACAGCGACCGAGAAAGTCACCGCGCAAAAACCGTCTATCTCCAGCAAGAATTTGTTGAAAATTTTATTCGTGCAATGCTTACATTTATTGTCATTACCGTAAAACCGTTTACGGCGAAAACCTGGATTTCCGAGGAAATACGTTGAATGGAAATGAATACGAACGAATACGAATACTTACAATTATTGTTTGTTTTATTAACGAGGATTAATTTGCAACGAGAAATGTAAAGTTAATTGGGATTATGGTATTGTATCGGACGACGTTATTACGGGTAATTGGATCGTTTGTTCAACGTAGTTAAGTCGCAGATTGGTACTTGTTAAGCCAGTAAAAGGATTCATTACTGATCTCGTACTTAACAGATAACCAACAAGTTTTCTGCTCAACTTGGAAAGTAGCTTTAGTTGGCTGCCTCGTCAAATGCTATTTTACTCTCGAGCAAAAGGTTTTAGGTTAAATTCTAAGTTCAGGTACCTACCAATTATTGAGTAGTGAACCTACCCACCTATAGAGAATTTTATTTTCGAAATTCTCAGAATCTTCGTCCGCCTCTATATAAAGTAAATAGGTATATATAATACGAGAGAAACATGATAAATAATAGAGGTAGTTGTTTATTACAATCTTTTTTCTTTAGTCACTCTACGTATGTGTGCGTGTTCCCAGAATAATCATTAATTTGATTACAATTACCGACTGCAAAGACCGGTGTTACTTGAGTAAAAGTAGTGCAGGACCAGCCAAATTCTCGTCTCGTCGAAGCTCAGAAACGTAGTCTCGTCACCGTGTCAGACCCAATTACGAACAAATTGGATAATGCAAACTAATCTCCCAGTGACCCAGACTTTACCAATCAGTTCGATCCACTTTGTAACCGGAGCCAAGTAAACTAGATTTTTTCCTATTTTCTTTTCTTTTATTTTGGCGTAATTGAATTATTGAATTTTGTATTATGTATCGAGTTTAGCTACGAACAGACATCGTCTACAATGGTATCTTGTTTGGCTATTCGCTAAACATTTCGTTCAGTAAAACAACAAAAAATACAAATAAGGAAAATCATAATATATTAGAGCAACCCAGAAGATTATTTTTCATATAGGTATAAACTGTTCAGGACCACAAAACCAAAACGAACCCTCCAACAATCACCCTTTTCGCCACAAATAGTTTGAAAACGACTTTTATGAAATGCAAAACGAAACGAAAATGGCCGGATTTCTGACGACACTTCAGACGGGGGCTTTCAGCAAATGAGCGACGGCCTCTAGCGCTCCGAGCAACGCGGACAAAGGAGCCCTTCTCGCGTCCTCAGGTCTTACACGCCGACCACCGTAACTTGAACTGCCGGGATACAAAAACTAGTTATGAACAACAACCCTCAAGCTAAGGCCACGGTTCTATTTAAATTAGTTGGTGGTACGGTAAAATCTCAGGCGTTCCGTTGCACATTTCAGTTGGAAGCACTGTACCTTGTAATTGTACCTACCTTCCTACGTAGTTCTTTTTTTCACAGCTCCACCGTATTTTCTTTTATCGTACATAGTTGTTAGGAAGGTATAGTCGTTTGCGTATAACCAAGTGTAGCACGCGACATTGTGTGTCGCTGTATATTTTAAACGCTCCCGCGTGCGCGATTACTGAAGTTTACCTTATATTGAATTTTCTTTGTAGACATGCTATACGACTATTTGGTATGAAATTGGGGGCCGCTACCGTAATGACCACGACCGCAGGGCTTGTAAGCGGTGGATAGTTACTAAGTAGATACATACCTGAGAAATTATACAACGATGATCGCTAAACGAAATTATCATTATGTAGATTGTCAGGCTGATACTCAGGTTCTCAGTTCCATATCTACACGATAAACGAATGAAACAAATACCTGTTTTATTTATTCAAGCGAGGCTAGGTATTCATTACGATTCAGATCATAAAACCCTCGATTATTAATAAGGGTTTACGATCAAAACCAACTAATCTAAGATAATAATCACTAATGAATTTACGACCTCAACATTCGTTAATTCGTAATCCTACCAAAATTGTCTGTGACGGAGGTACACGGGAACCTGACTAGCGTTTACAAACAAACAAATTAATTTGTACCGAGATACTGTCAGCGTAATAGGTCGTTAGTCGTGACGTCACTCAGTGCTGAACAACAATGATTTATGTCGTCCCCGCCACCCCTCGCTGCCGTTGTATACCCTTTGACGAGGTCGAATCATCATTTGTAGCTACACCAGTCACTAACTTTCATTCTAACTCCTTATTAATAGATGATCGATTAGATTGCCCCTCTTTTGCCACTGCTTTCCAGTTTTGATGACGAATTGTTGCTAATCGTTTTTTAGTGGCCGTGGAAATCTTTTTGTAATTTTTGTAAGGAACAGATAGATAATATAAGAATTTGTGAATTCACCTGAAAGACGACAGGCGTTTTATACAAGGGGAGTAAATGTAGGGTAAAAAGAGATCGTAACAGATCCAGTGGACTGTCTGAACGATGCTTAAAAGATTATCTAGGTAGGAACCTACTTTGTCCTGCGCGTAATTACATGCAATTCAAAATTAAATAAATTCGTGAAATATGGTTAGGTATCTAATGTTGATAGGATGAGTATCCAAATGTCAAGAGGTGCCAAATATATTTTGATATAGGACCACTTTCTTTGTAGGTAACAATGTATTAGCACTGTTAATCAATCTACCAAGTGTCTTGTTGTAGTCGTAGTGCTCAAAACGATGGGCTCGCTGCTATTCCAGCGGTAAGTCCCCTCTTTGAGGAGGAGTACCGCCTGACGCAGATCCTCACCGGACATGGACGTTTCGGGAGATACCTGTGTTTGATGAGGTACCAGACCACCACGGATAGGGCCCAAGGCTGAGAGTGACTCGGAGTCGCGGAGAACCTAACGGATTACCGGGGCTCCGGCTCGAAGCGCAGGAGAAGGATCGGGGTGGTTTTTAGTCAGTAAGAGTCTGACACTCCCTCCCGCCTCACCCACGCGGGAGCAGCCATTCGATGATTTTCCCCCCTAAAAAAAGTGCTCAAAGCGAATGCATATCATATACCTTTATAGATATAAAAACTTTGACTGCACGGTTAGCGCGGTAGTTGG